ACAGAGTGCAATTCTGGACAAACATTTACAGAGATTTCTTTTACCACATTCACTAACCATTGAGAAGGTTGATGGTGCTTTGGGAGAGAGGAAAATTGGAGAAGGCGCCTTCTTTTTCTTCTTCTGTCAGCTCCTGAGAGGATAAAAGAAAAAAAAGCCTTATAAACCCAAAAAGATGAGCAAATAACATACCCTCCATAGGCACACACGAAAAGCTGAGCATTTGCTTTACCACCGTGGTTTTACCAGATACTTCCTTTCTGTTTAAAGAAAAATAAAACCCTTGTGGATTGAGATATTTCACAAACAAAATCGTCATCTCAGCATAAAGCAGGAAACTTGAACCCAATAGAGTGCAATTCTGGACAAACATTTACAGAGATTTCTTTTACCACATTCACTAACCATTGAGAAGGTTGATGGTGCTTTGGGAGAGAGGAAAATTGGAGAAGGCGCCTTCTTTTTCTTCTTCTGTCAGCTCCTGAGAGGATAAAAGAAAAAAAAGCCTTATAAACCCAAAAAGATGAGCAAATAACATACCCTCCATAGGCACACACGAAAAGCTGAGCATTTGCTTTACCACCGTGGTTTTACCAGATACTTCCTTTCTGTTTAAAGAAAAATAAAACCCTTGTGGATTGAGATATTTCACAAACAAAATCGTCATCTCAGCATAAAGCAGGAAACTTGAACCCAGCCACCCTGTAGTAGAAGACAAGACACACCGACACAGGCTACACCACTCTGTGTGACAGAATTCCTAGCAGCAAATCCTGGTTTTACCACGGATTTAAAACTCCCTGCCAAAGGTCCTCCTGCTCTTGTTCCCTGCAACAACTCATTCAAAAACACAGCTACTGCTATCCCATCCCTAATTCAGGTACACCTGCACCACCTTCTCAGACTCGTAGCAAACAAGAGGGAACAACCACATCATGCACATGTGCTTGGCACATCAGGAAAGGGTTTTTAACTGCTTGTTAAAAAACCTCAACTGGAGTCCACGGAACAACCACATCATGCACATGTGCTTGGCGTATCAGGAAAAGGTTTTTAACTGCTTGTTAAAAATCTCAACTGAAGTCCTTTGAAATCAGTAGAAAACTGTTTTTCACAGCAAAACATATTTAGTGTGACGATTCACTGTGTGAAGCTAGAATTTTCCTCTAAATCACAGCTACCATGCAAACACCTTCTTAACTTGGCACACCAGTGGGTTATTTTGTTAAAACTTACAATTTAGCTTCTACTTCAAAGATCCAAGAGACGACATCATTACACCCAACGTCCAGAAAGCACTCTCTTGGCTCACATTCCCATCTTAAACACAAGAGAGAAAACTACCCACAGGAGGCCCTATGCAGGGGAGGGGAAGCTGCAGGACCCTCTCACACCCGTGTGCGAGGCCAAGGGTAAAATCTGAGCAGCGACAACTCCAGAGCGGGAGTTAATGAGGATAACCATGACCTTCCCTTACAGGACACGCTGCCAAATACTTCTTCAAAGGTCCTGCCAGCAGAGAAAGCGCCGTCGCAGCACAAAGCGGTGCACACCTCTGGGATGGCGACTGCCTTCCCAGGGAAGGAACACGAGAAACCCTCGTGCTGTGTGGCACAGAACAAGTCGCTACATGAAGACGAACTACGGTGTGGAAACCCCTTTCTGCGTTTGCCAGGAGAGGGAAAGCAGGGCAAGGAGAGATGGCTGCCACGTGTCAGTGCATGTGCTGCAGCTCAGGCAGAAGCAGGCGTGATGCCAGGCACCCCCGGGTGCCAAAAATCTACGAGGAACAGGGGGAAACGCTGCCCAGGACATCAGCCACCTAATGCTCCCACAACCCTCTCATGCCAAGCCGCCACACAGCATGCTATTAAGCCCACTCGTCACCAGCAGAACTTTAATTAAGCAAGATGAGTGCTTGGCGGGCAGGGTGTCAGTACCTCCTCGTCGCTGTCCTGCTCTGTGGTGGCTGTGTCACCAGACAGGGTCTGTGCTGAGGGGGATGCCAGGCCGTTGCTTGCAGCAGAGGAAGGTTTCACCGTGAGCTCAGAGACATCGCTCTCTCCGGCCAGACCGTTGCTCTTCTCCTTGATTCTTTTTGTCTTCTTGGGCAGGGGGGGCCCACAAAACACCACTACACTTATTTAAGATGTGATATGTAGACAGCAGCTACAGGAATTGAAGATACATAGTAAGTAGAATGATGCTGATGAGAAGAGAAACCCTGTCTCTAGAACGCAAACCTAGGAATAATCATGCCATAGAATAGTAAACTCACTTTAAGGCACCTGAAATTGAACAAAACAGAAACTTTGCTCCTACTAACAACAGCAGATTCTTTGAATCTACAGTGACAGCTCGTGTACACAGACTTACCTCACAATAAACATAAGACAATTTAGGACAATTTACCCTTGGCTTCTGTCCCTGGTTATACAGGTAACAGAGTGCAATTCTGGACAAACATTTACAGAGATTTCTTTTACCACATTCACTAACCATTGAGAAGGTTGATGGTGCTTTGGGAGAGAGGAAAATTGGAGAAGGCGCCTTCTTTTTCTTCTTCTGTCAGCTCCTGAGAGGATAAAAGAAAAAAAAACCTTATAAACCCAAAAAGATGAGCAAATAACATACCCTCCATAGGCACACAAGAAAAGCTGTGCATTTGCTTTACCACCGTGGTTTTACCAGCTACTTCCTTTCTGTTTAAAGAAAAATAAAACCCTTGTGGATTGAGATATTTCACAAACAAAATCGTCATCTCAGCATAAAGCAGGAAACTTGAACCCAGCCACCCTGTAGTAGAAGACAAGACACACCGACACAGGCTACACCACTCTGTGTGACAGAATTCCTAGCAGCAAATCCTGGTTTTACCACGGATTTAAAACTCCCTGCCAAAGGTCCTCCTGCTCTTGTTCCCTGCAACAACTCATTCAAAAACACAGCTACTGCTATCCCATCCCTAATTCAGGTACACCTGCACCACCTTCTCAGACTCGTAGCAAACAAAAGGGAACAACCACATCATGCACATGTGCTTGGCGTATCAGGAAAAGGTTTTTAACTGCTTGTTAAAAATCTCAACTGAAGTCCTTTGAAATCAGTAGAAAACTGTTTTTCACAGCAAAACATATTTAGTGTGACGATTCACTGTGTGAAGCTAGAATTTTCCTCTAAATCACAGCTACCATGCAAACACCTTCTTAACTTGGCACACCAGTGGGTTATTTTGTTAAAACTTACAATTTAGCTTCTACTTCAAAGATCCAAGAGACGACATCATTACACCCAACGTCCAGAAAGCACTCTCTTGGCTCACATTCCCATCTTAAACACAAGAGAGAAAACTACCCACAGGAGGCCCTATGCAGGGGAGGGGAAGCTGCAGGACCCTCTCACACCCGTGTGCGAGGCCAAGGGTAAAACCTGAGCAGGGACAACTCCAGAAGCGGGAGTCAATGAGGATAACCATGACCTTCCCTTACAGGACACCCTGCCAAATACCTCTTCAAAGGTCCTGCCAGCAGAGAAAGCGCCGTCGCAGCACAAAGCGGTGCACGCCTCTGGGATGGCGACTGCCTTCCCAGGGAAGGAACACGAGAAACCCTCGTGCTGTGTGGCACAGAACAAGTCGCTACATGAAGACGAACTACGGTGTGGAAACCCCTTTCTGCGTTTGCCAGGAGAGGGAAAGCAGGGCAAGGAGAGATGGCTGCCACGTGTCAGTGCATGTGCTGCAGCTCAGGCAGAAGCAGGCGTGACGCCAGGCACCCCCGGGTGCCAAAAATCTACCAGGAACAGGGGGAAACGCTGCCCAGGACATCAGCCACCTAATGCTCCCACAACCCTCTCATGCCAAGCCGCCACACAGCATGCTATTAAGCCCACTCGTCACCAGCAGAACTTTAATTAAGCAAGATGAGTGCTTGGCGGGCAGGGTGTCAGTACCTCCTCGTCGCTGTCCTGCTCTGTGGTGGCTGTGTCACCAGACAGGGTCTGTGCTGAGGGGGATGCCAGGCCGTTGCTTGCAGCAGAGGAAGGTTTCACCGTGAGCTCAGAGACATCGCTCTCTCCGGCCAGACCGTTGCTCTTCTCCTTGATTCTTTTTGTCTTCTTGGGCAGGGGGGGCCCAGCGTCGCCATCACCCGCCCCGCTCTCCTCAGGCTGGGCCTGCTCACCCTCGGCCTTCCCGCGCCGCTTCCCCTTCCCCCGCCGCTTCGCCGCCTTCTCCTGGCTCTCCTCCTGCCGCGGGAAAGCGGGCGTTACACCGAGGAACTGCCTAAGCGACTTGAAGGCCCTAAACCCCGCGGCCGAGACCGACACACCACCACCACCCCCCCCCCCCACCCGCCCCGGCCCCCCCCCAGCCGCC